TTCCCTATGAACTCCTTTTTAAGAAGTAGTGCTCATCTTTGGGAATACAGACTATTTCCATTTAGAATTTACAACTGTTACTTAATTCTTTTGTTAACTTTCATTATGACAACTTGAAAGAAAAGTAATATAATAAAACACCCAATGCACAGTCATCGGTATCTTAAATGACTGACGGTAAGTAATGACTTAAATTTAAAAGGAAGCATATTGTGCAAATAAATATGACAGAAATATATTCCATTCAGTAAGATACATTTCAAGTCCACAGCACCAATTCTGCAAGTTCTGTTTCCCGAGACATGTGCTTATGAGCCTTCAATAGCAACGTGAAGGACTTTCTACAACAAAATCTTCACCAGAATATATAATTAATTCACCATCATGCTTTCTTCCTAAAACCAAGCTGAAGTCTATGTCACTCTTTTTGATATTGGCTTAGTCCCTGAGCCAGAACACAGAAGTTCACAAAGACACAGAACAGATTTTGCCCGAATATTTGGTTGGTAAGGTTAAGCTTGTCAAAGTTAGCAGGAACATAGATAGTTTTCTTTTCTCCAGTTAAGAGAAATAAATGCCAATATTGCCCGCTTTTAATGCGTTTAAATATATTTGCCATAAAGCAGTTTTCTCCATATTCATTTTGTTCATATCCACCTTCATTTTTGTCACTGCTTCTATTGACAAATAGAAACTTTAAATTGTATTAACCACTCAAACTAATTACTTATGGGGTAAAACTCAGTTGCTATGTTATTGTTAAATTTAAAAAGAGGCATCATTTTAATGGGCGTTTTCGTTTGCTACTTTTAACTGAGGTTCTATTTGGGCAATAAGCCCAAAAGTGGGACAGAATAACGCGTGGTATGAAATAGGGCACTAACGATGTTGAAAACTTTCAGAGTGACCGTTGGCTATGCTGGGCTACCAAAACAGCATTTTTAAATTGGGGATTCTGCATTTATCCTGCAGGTTATACTTAAAATTCAGACTTTTCGGAGTCAAGGAAGGCTGCTTAGACAAGTAAAAGTGGGAGACATAAGGCTGATTGCATTTCAAGCCATAACTTTTCAGGATGTAATCCATTCCACTGATTTTTTTTTTTAAATCACCGTGACCCAAAAACATTTGCAGAAAACAGAAGAGCTAGGCCCCTGAAATATGACTCACAGTGTAGGTTTTTTATGCCTGCATTTTGCTAATGATGTAGACGACCTACAAGGGCTTTGGCTAAATAAAGTTGAGAAAACAGCAGAAAATAAAAAGCTTAGTGAAATCCTTGTTAAATTACAGCCTCTCTTCCATGTGTAGTATGAGAGATTATAGGCATAAAAGGATTATGGAAAATGAACAAAAAACACCTCAGTTAGGAGGAAAGGACACAGGTGAAAATAAAAGCTCATGTCTGAAGACATACCAAGCCAGATAAGCAGTATCTAAATGATAAGCACAGAGGGTAAGTGAAATCCTGAGAGAATTCTGAATTGGAATCATTAGACTCATATGGAAACTATTAAAGTTGTGTTTTTCTTGAATCAGGGGAAGCCCTAGGTAAGCATATTAAAGATGAGTCAGAGGAGTGGCTCTGAGTTGAAGCAATTTCTAAATGAGAGGGATGCCAAAGAAAATAGTATAGTCAGATACCACGGGCTGAACTTCGGATGCAAAACAGAGCAAGCATGAAGAATTTTGTTTCCTCTTGAAAGAAAGAGGATATTTAGGCTTGTTCCAATTGTACCCTTTTTTAAAAATTTAACTATTGCTATCAAGCTATTCAGTTTATTAAGAGCCACAAAACCTGGTGGATCCCCATGGTGCATGGGGTACACCACTTCTCCAGGAGCAGTAGTAGTTTATGTCTATGAACAGCTACCTTCTCTGATGGAGTTCCTTGGGTGCACACAAACTTTCTTCCCACCGGAAGGAGGCGTCAGTAATTCCCCACATTACATCAGTGATTTGCTTTTCTCTCTCAAAATAACAGAAGCGAACCATTCATTCACATACTAAAATAGACCGACAGCTTATCCTTCCTAGCACTGCATTTCCTCCACGTGCACGTGAACTACTACGCAATGAAGCCTAATGTAACTCTTTCCACAGATGCTGATTTTGCTGAAGCAAAACTGTTCAGAAACTCTGCGACACAGTTAAACAAAACTAATCTAAAATGTCTAGAATTGAGAAATACATGGCTATTGCTGCTGCAGTGGCCTTCATTTAATCTCTAGTTAAAATACATCTCTGAAAGAGGCATATGTGATTTCAAACAGCATTGTTGTAAGTATATTATTACCTCCAGTGAGCCATCAGGTTTCCTGAATATTTGAACTGAAGTCACATCCTAATCACTACCTCCTTAGGACTAGCAGACAGGCTATCTTTTAGGGAATGTTCTAAGTGGTATCTACTGCAATGGTAGGTTGGGTCTTATTATCTGATCATTTGCCTTAACCACCCTACAATTATTTTCTGGTACTCTCCCATCTACATTTCTATTTCCAAATTTTGTAAATGCTAAATAGTCACTTTCTGTCACTGTATAAATACAGAGCACCTGACTAGAAGAAATGACCAGCAGGATACTTTCAGTTACCCTAGGGACTGGCTAGATCAATAAAGCAGTCTTTAGGATATCCCTGCTGGCCTGCTGTTTGCTTTGCTGTCAGATCTACTATGTGAACTTTCCTTTGCAGCTGGGACAGCAATGGCTTGCCAGTGAACTCTTTGCAGGAGCCTTCAGGAGCCTTCAGTAGCCTTCAGCAGCCCCTCCCCATTATTCTTAAGTGGGACTTTTAAAGGGTCTTGTGATGACATACAGACCTTCGTGCATACTTCAGTGACTCAGATAAAAATTCTATTAATAATCTGTTGTTAGTTAGCATTTATTCTATTTATTTCATCCTACTTATCTGGGAATTACAATTCCCTAAAACTTTATTCCAGACTGACAGTCTAAGGGAAAAAGAAAAGCAAGCAAAATACTTTTCCCAAACCATTAATTGCTTAGTGTGTATTAACAAGCAATGCAATTATTTGTTTTTTGTATGTTAGAAACCTGTCTGCAGTAAGTTACCGCCCACTACTCGCCTGACCTCACTAAAATGCATTAACTTCTGGGACTATCCCAATCCCTTACGCTGTTCAGTTCCATTTTATCTGCAAGCTGTTCACAGCTAGTGAGGACTGGTCTAGCCCTCCCTGCCCATAGGTTATATCCGCATTATCCTCCAAAAATAACTGTCAGTTAGATACATCAGCTGTTACAGACGTCCTCACAGAGTGAGATGAATAATGATCTGCAGACAAAGGTGATAACTAAAATCACTGCCACCAGGTGATAATACTACCGACACCAGTAATTTGTATTTTTGCAAAGGCAAATATACAGAAGCATCAAAACTGCATTGAAAACAGTCTACTCTGCACTGTGTGCCACTTTGAGTATTTAAAATGGCATGGAAAAAAGGCTTTTCATGACAACCAGGTAATATAAATAAGATAGCTGGGCATTCTACATTAAGCAAATTTAGAATGTATGTAAGGAAACACATCCTATAGTGCTAAATGGTGCAACAGTATAAGTAAATGCATCATAAAATGCTATATAATTATATGCTGCCAAATTTTCGCTTCAAATTTTGAATTAATTTAAAATTAATTAAAAAATTAAAAATTAAATTCAAATTTTGAATTAACTAGTTTTTGGTTCACTGTGCAGCCTCTGGCACCTCACTCTCTATGCAATCTATTAAAGTAAGTTTTTATCTGTTCCCTTATGTTTTCACGAGATATACTCTTTTAGAATACTCATCTAAGTAAAAGCAAATATATGCATTTCATGAATTGACCAGTTGTTTTCTTATGAAACACTTAGTAGTTACTCCTCAAAACTCAGAACTATTGGAAGCTTTTAGAAACTGCCTCCACATCAGTTAAAAAAATTCATAACCACGAACAAGCTTTCATAATTACAAGAGTGGGTAAAAGCAAAGTTCCTAAGTAAGGCAGAACCGGGTGAATGGATAAAGGAGGGAGCTAGAGAACAACAATGACAACAAAAGTCTAGGACTTCATTTAAAAAATGGTTTTTAATATAAAGCTGCATATAAAAACAACCCACCCAACAGTTATCTGAAACAAATCCTCAAGGTTTTCTTCAGTCAATTCCCTGACAGTTTGGCAAGCGCTTGTTTTCTCTGTTCTGCTGTCATATACTCACAGGCTTCCAAAATATTTACTACGATTAAAGTCTGTTGAACTGTTTTTGCTTTTACCCATATTCTTCCATTCATTCCCAGCACCAGCTCAAAAGGGTACAATTGTGACAACTCCTGAATTATTTCACATTTGGGAGCCAAAAGTCTGTAACCGAGATTAAAAAAAAAAAAGTCAGAGAAAAAATAAATGTGCACATTTGATAAAACACTGCCGTATTATCAGTCAATAACCAAATCACACTACTGGTATTATGGAAGCTGTTATAACAGCTCCAAAAACTAAGACGATCAATTTGCATATGCACCCAAAACAGTAATTCTTAATTTTCCCCTCATATAAAACATCCGGGCACTTAAATAAGTACAACACTGGTGAGTTTATAGTTATTTTTCTGATTATTTATATTCAGAAGTAATATCTGAGAAATTCACAGTGAATTCATACTTTTATAATAGTTTTAGAATTTAATAAATTTAATAAATTTAGAATTTAATAAATTCTAAAACTATGCTGTTTGACAAAGTGACATTTTTGAGTGTTGCTATTTATGAATTTGACCTCAGAGTTAAAGATGTGTCTGTCAAAACAAGACTTCCCTTCTGCTGCTTCAGAATACTAACACAGCAATAAATGCAGAATATTTTTGTTCTATTAAGTGACACCATACTGAAGACGACAAGCGTCAAGAATATCTTAATACATCTATGTTTACATCTAGCTACAGTAAGCTTTCTCAAGGAAGACACAAACATACCAAGAGTAATTTACTCATTCTGTAATATACTGCTATGTCTTTACATTCATATACAGATAAAAATATGGAAAACAAGCACGAGGCTGCAAAACAGATGATGTTACTTCACACTGACTGCTGATGGGACACGGCAGGCAAATAATTATTTACAAAAAACAGGTATGAAACATCTAACTAAAACATGAAGACCAATCCCTTTTTACATTTCCATCTTGTTTTTCCTAAAGAAAGCTTTGTTATCATTTATCCATATCATCTGGTACTCTTTTATAATCACAAAAGTCTTGTATTTATGTTAACATAACGTAACCTAAACTTTGGAGTCACTTAAAAAGTTTGTGAAATGGTTTCTCGATTAACATGCTAGTTTTACAAACAAATTGCAGGGTTTTCATTCATCTGCACATTGTTTAATGTGCTTTTAGCTACAGAATGCTTAAAGTGTCATGTACCTCTCTTCAGAGGAAAATTATTTGTACTGATGAGAACAGATGCGTTTAATTAGCTTCAACCAAACTGATACCACCATCTAACTAAGCAGAAAAATATCAGTAAGTATTTCTGATTTTTAAATTCCAAGCTAGTATATATACCTAAAACCACAGTTTGAATGTCTGATTTCTCCAGGTCAATGGTTTTATCTTCTATACTGCCTTGAGAGCACGTCTCTCCAAATTTTTTAAAAAAGGTCAAAAAATGCAACACAGAACAATATCTAAACCTCTTGTAAAAGAAGAGGTATGTGCTACTGCTAGGTCGACATCCATTTATCCTGTATTTGGTAAAACTGATATGAATGCACTAAAACAATTATGCACATTGCTTACTGAATAGTTCACTCCACTCGGAGTAAACAAGGAGGAACAAGCTGTGGGTATCCTACCTAGGACTATAACATTACATGTTAAGAGTGACTACTCATTTTTCTCAATACTTACTTTCTTATTAGACCTAAGGAAACTTTAAAGAGAAAGCCATCTTGTCCAATTACTCCCATTCCACTTGCTCTTCCACTGCTGTCTATACAGACCATCTCTGGTTCCATGTCTTTATTTGCTACAAGAAACTGACCATAAATAAGGTCTCCCACCTGAAACAAGCAGTGTCCCAAAGTGAAAAGGGTTAGAGAAGAACATGCTCCACATCTATAAGAAATATTCATTTGGTAAAGATCCTCCCAAGAGAACACAAAATAGTTTTGGAATAGCGGTGACAGAAAAATGAACTGGTATACTAATAATTTTAATTCTTTTCCTTCCACTAAAGGCAACGTTTTCTAGGAGAAATTATCCTGTATCACTGCTAAAATGCGAAGGAAACTTCAGTACGGAATTTTCTTTCATCCCTCTTTACTTCTCTCCTTCTAAAATACCAAGCGTGAATTCCTTCCCGTCTTCAGACTTTAAGGGTGTTAAAAGTCAAGTCTAAGGAACTCACTCTTGTAATCATTTATCGGGACTATAAAAAAAAACATGCTAGTCCATTTCATTTCTCTTTACAGACCACTTTACATTCTAGCGATGGTATTGCAGCTGAATGCAGAAACACTGGCACGTGTAAACCACACAACTGTTTTCACAGTAGTGTTACAAAAAATGGTTTTCTACCAGTATCAGACAGCATAAAAGCTGGCTTTAAAACCTCAACTTCAGAGTGCCCTCCTGGATGCACACTACTGCATGAATTTAATCTGCTGCTGAGAGTATTATGGGAAGTTTAAAAACCTGCCATCTGACAGATAACAAAAAAGCAACAAGTACACATTCTCTTAAAAACAGAAAACTAAGAAAACCTACAGCCTAATCACATCAAGATCTCAGCAAAGGGCCAAGACAAAACCATTACAAATAAACTGCGTTCTTTTTCAGTACAGTTTATCAAAAAAAACTTTTACAAACACAAATTACCAAAGCTTATTAGAAGCATGACTATCAAGACTAAGAGATACCGTAAAAGTGTTTTCATCAATAACCAATACAGCATTACCTGTACATTCGGCCTGTTTCTTTTAGTTGCACCTTCAAATGCCAGGTACGAGAGAGATGCTTGCTCACTTCCACCCACGTCTACTTTAAACACGTCTCCTGCCTTGGCCGTCACTATTCCTATTACATGATCTCCCTTGACTGGAACATACTGCAAAGCAAGTTGCGGGACGCGAGAGGTTAGGGAGGAAAAACAGGTGCGTTTACAGCCACGCAGGGCAGCTCTCTCCCCGCCGCCCGCACGACCTCCCCCCTCCCTTGCGCCGCGGCAACATGGCCGCGCACCGCGGGGCGCCTCACG